ATCAGTATTTTTTTATATGGGGTATTTACAGTGCAAAAAAGACATTCAAAATTGTGCTTATACACTGAACATCTATATTAATTTTCTTGAAACACCAAGAATCAAAAGAGCCTCCCCTGCATCTTCAACGACATCTTAGTTGCTCCCTCTACTCCTTTTTATCACTATACTTGTCTCTTCCTCAAGTCACTGTCTCTCTTACGGACTTCGGGCATGCTCTTGATTCATTCCACCGAAAGTACTTACTGAGCACCTACTATGTATAGAACACTGCTAGACTCGAGCTAGTGTGGTGAGAAAACAGACGCAGCCCTTGACCTCATGAAGTTTCAGCTTTGCAATCCCTGTACCTCTACCTAATGGAAACCCCTTCCCTCTCAGGCTGCTTTTACCCTCCAGCCCGCCTACGCTGGCCTACAGCTGTCTCATTCAGTCAGTCCCCCACACTGTTTATTGACCACAGCAACTGGCGCACAGTGTTCTTCGCTCAAGGTCCTGCAATTGTCTAGGAAGGATAAATGTTTATGAGTAACCGTGACCCCTCAACTCTGAAGAGGGGTCACCTCTGTCACTCGGTTCCAGGGCAAGACCACAGATCTTATCTGCTCCTAAATATACTAAACTTAAATATACTCTCAAAAAATTTTTCTCCTTCTGGTTATTCAAAACCTGCCATAATACCTACACTTCAGCCCTCACTGAAATCTTCAAATCTGTGATTTATTTTCCTCATCCTGGTCTCACTTCCTTCCAACGTGCCCTATAGCTGTTCCCCTAAACCTCTCTTATGCCTGCATTTCTGCCACATGTGCCATGTTAATTTTTAACCTTAGGGCACACTGTTGATTCTCTTATTTTCTGGCCATTTCTTTTTTGTTAATCTTTCTTCCGCATTTCAATTTTCGTAGTTTGACTTCTGAGTCCCAAATGTCGCTAACCCAGACAATGCTTTTGAACTCTAAACTCATACATTCAAAACAAAATATTTTCATCCTCACCCTCCAACATACCTAAAATAATCTTCCCATCCCTCACCTTACTATTCTTCTAATTCCATATTTCTATCCCAATTAATGGTATTCATCCAGTCACCCAAGCCCAAATCCCAGGAGTCATTTTGATGATTTCACTCATTCTTTTTCATTCAACTATTCTAGGGACACACAATTATCTGTATGGGTGGACGTGTGCACATGTGTTGTGTCCGTACCTACATACGGCTTTCAACAGTGTCAGGGAAAGCCTCACTGAGATGAAACTGAGCAAACAAACTGAAGAAGGCAAGGAAGCAGGTTATGCAGATAAACGGGGAAGTGCATACCAGGCAAAGACACAGCCAGCACCAAGGCCTGAAGATAGGAGTGTGCCGACACCCGGGAAGACAGAGGCAGCCAGTGCGCCTGCAGCAGAGTGAGCCAGAGGAAAAGAGTAGATGAGGGAAGGCAGATAACGGGAGTCAAGGCCATTAGGTTATTAGAAAGACCCTGGCTTTTATTCTGGTGAGGGAGAGAGCCACCAGCAGTAAGTAGGAGGCTAATGCAGTGGCCTGGATCATGGTGGCTGCAAATATTCTGGATATATTTTCTTAGTCTCAGGATTTGCAGACACGCTGCATGTGGGTATCGGAGAAAAAGAGCAGTTGAAGATATCTCCAAAGGTTTTGACCTGAGCAGATGGGGAAAGTTACAAGTGAGCAAGTTAGAAAGGATACCAGGAGTTTGGTTTTGGACAAGTTAAGATTAAAATACCTATTAGAACCAAGTGGCCATGTCAAGTAGGCAATTAGATATATGAATCTGGCATTTGGATTTAGGAGACAAAAGGAAATACACAGTATTTAAAGCCGTACGAATGGCTAATTTCACCATGAAGGGTAGTGTAGATAAGAGAACAGAAGCTGAGCAAGGACTTACTTAGCTTTGCGCACTCCAATGCTAAGTTGTTGGAGAGAAGAAAACAAACACTGAGAATGGAGGACTCGTGGGGTGGGAAGAAAACTAAGGGAGTATAACTCCCAGAAACCAAGAGAGGAAAGTATGTTTAGGGGGAGAGTGAACTATCATATCCCTGGCAGGGACTGCCAGCAGGTCAAGGAAAATGAGGACTAAAAACTGACCACTGGAACAACAATGGAGATCACTGATGATCTTGACAAGTAGTAATGACAGCACAGATTTAATCAACAATTCTTTTAACAAGCATTGCTGTAAAGGGAGTAATGAGGCATAGCTAGAGGTAGAAGTTAAGACAAAGTTTTTTTTTTTTTTTAAAGATTTTATTTATTTATTTGAGAGAGAGAGAGAATGAGAGATAGAAAGCACGAGAGGGAAGAGGGTCAGAGGGAGAGGCCGACTCCCCGCTGAGCAGGAAGCCCGATGCGGGACTCGATCCCGGGACTCCAGGATCACGACCCGAGCCGAAGGCAGTCGCCCAACCAACTGAGCCACCCAGGCACCCAAGACAAAGTTTTATAAAGCAAATTTACTTCAACAGAATACTTTTTTTGACAGCAAAAAAAAAAAGGAGTGAAGAAGAGGAGAAAGTACAAGTACAGGTGACTTTTTTGATAAGTTTTCCTACAAGAAGTGCAGAAAAATGCAGCAAAAGCTGGAGGGAGATGTGAGATGAAATGATTTTTCTTACATGGAGTATATTACAGCATGTTTGTCAGAGCTGATGGAAATTACTCATAAAGACAATTATTTTAGGTATGTTGGAAGGTGTTCTCTAGGGTGAGAGAAATATCACCATGTTCATACACTGATAGGGATGCCTGAGAAAGAAAAACTGATGCAGGAGAGAGGGGACAACTGCAGGAATACATCTGTGAGTAGCAAACATGGGATCTAGCACACCAGTGAAGAAAACAGCCTTAAATACAAGTTGTACAACCAAAACGATTTATTTATTATTTATCATCTCTCCCAACACTAAAGCTTAAATTCCACAAGGACAAAGATTTTTGTCTCTTTTGTTTACTGCTATAGCCTAGAACAGTGCCTGACACATAATAGGCATGCAATGGAGTGGGTATTTACCCCAAAGATACAAATGTAGTGATCTGAAGGGGCACCTGCACCCCAGTGTTTATAGCAGCCATGTTCACAATAGCCAAACTATGGAAAGCGCCCAGATGTCCACTGACAGATGAATGGATAAAGAAGATATGGTGTATATATATATACAATGGAATATTACACAGCCATCAAAAAATGAAATCTTGCCATTTGCAATGACGTGGATGGAATGAGAGGGCATTATGCTAAGCGAAATAAGTCAATCAGAGAAAGACAATTTTATCTCACTCATATGCAGAATTTAAGAAACAAAACAGGAGATCATAGGGAAAGAGAGGAAAAATAAAATAAGATGAAACCAGAGAGGGAGACAAACCATAAGAGACCCTTAATCATAGGAAACAAACTGAGGGTTGCTTGAGGGGAGGGAGGGTGGAGGGATGGGGTAACTGGGTGATGGACATTAAGAAGGGCATGTGATGTAATGAGCATGGGGTATTTTATAAGACCGATGAATCACATATCTGCACCTCTGAAACCAATAATACGTTACATGTTAATTAATGAATTTAAATAAAAATATTTAAAAAAATAAAGCAAATTTACTTCAACAGAAATACTTTTTTTGACGGCAAAAAAAAAAGGAGTGAAGAAGAGGAGAAAGTACAAGTACAGGTGACTTTTTTGATAAGTTTTCCTACAAGAAGTGCAGAAAAATGCAGCAAAAGCTGGAGGGAGATGTGAGATGAAATGATTTTTCTTACATGGAGTATATTACAGCATGTTTGTCAGAGCTGATGGAAATGATCCAGTAGAGAAGAAAAATTTGATGATATATGAGACAGAAGATAAGAACAGAGTGAAATCAGTGAATAAAAGAAAGGGAACAGGATCTGCTGTTGGACTGGAGGAACTGTCTCAAATAGGAGCATGGACAGTTCATTTTGAATGGTAAAGGCAGAGTTTATGGGCATCTATGATGGGGAAAGGGCTAACAGAAATGGTAAGTGGGAACAGGCGAGGTTTTTCTTTGCTTCGACTTTCTCAAATACATACATAAGTTTATTAACTGAAGATAAGGAACAGGTAGCACATACTGGAGAACTGGAGGTCTGGAAGATGAGAATTGCCTTAGAGTGCAGGACAGTGAATATCTAGGGAAACGCGGAATACGTGTAAATGAAAAACTGAAACACTTTAGGTTAGTGGACATGAATTCAAAGTGAGACCATTTACCACGGTTCCGTTTTTCTCCAGCCACTTTTGGCTGCCCTGAGGGCACGTGTGGAATAAGAGAGTTTTAACCAGGCTGGTTAACAAGCAAGTGTGAAGGAGTAGGAAAAGAATAAGGAAAAATAGATGATTAAATCTAAAACGGATAAGGAGGGAAGTCAAAAGTGTGTTAGTAAAACGGCGTTGTAGGAGGATCGAAGGTTGTAGTAGGATCGAAGAGTTGTTGGAACCGGGGTTCTCAATCATCCCTCAAAAGCCTTGGTCAAGGCCACGTAAGTGAGTGCTAAAGTAAGCTCTTCATTCCCGCAATCCTTTTCCCGGGAAGTGTGGGTCAAACCTCTCAGTATCCCTAAATCACGTCCCCCCGCCTTTGTCAAGAGAGCTTTTATAGAAGCGGAAAGTGCGGCTCCCAGTAGCTGCTCGTTCCCGATCTCCCCCTACCTCCAGGAGTTTAGGGCCGAACTATCTCCGCGAGCAGTCCCTCCCAAACTCACTGTTGGTACCTGTGTTGGGCGTCGCTAACCGCCGGCGAAGAATTTCTTTCCAGTCCATGGCTGACTCCCGCGCAGCAGCTTCTGCATTTGCTGTTTACTAACCGCTCCACCCCCTACTAGCTCAGACTGCAATCACCGCCCAGCCCCGTAAATGTCAGGAACGCTCAACCGCCATCTTGGACTTGGGCGGAAGTCGGCTAACCAGGCAAAAACACATTACAGCTACTGCGGAGAATACAACGATCATGTTAATAGAGGGGAAAGCCGACTTGAAACAGATGGAAAAATGATTCTCTGTAAGGCAGCGCCCAACTTCACCAAGTCCAATCTTAAAGGTACAGGACAAGGAAGACCCCGTTTTTATTTCTTTAACTTGGGACTTTGGCGCGTGTGTACCACGTGATTCAGGAGACCTATGGCGTTTCCGGCCCGAGGAAGAGATTTTTTTTTTTTTTTTTTGCTTCACAATTTCTTTTCATTGCTCACTGCGGATATCTAAAGGCCCTAAAGTTTCCCTGAACATAGCAGACGTTTTCAACAGCCCCTTTTGCCACAAACAGCTTCAAAATTGTCTTTTTATCGCCGTCAGGCCCGGCGGAACGCCTCCGCGAGGTTCAGCCACGCCCCGTAGCCGGGGCCCTCGCGGTGCATTGTGGGCGCGGTAGTTCGGCAGTGCTTATGGTTGCCTTAAGCGTGAGTGCTGAGGTGAGTTGTTGAATGGAGTGAACTTCGTTTCTGATCGGTCGGTACACGGCCGGCACTGCCCTTCGTGGACCTTCTTTCCTTACCTGAATTGTCAGTTCGGCTCTCTCCCCACCTCTCCCGCCCTCATATCATCACCTGACGCGTTTAGCGGCCTGAGAGGATTGTTATGCCGGCCCAGGGCTCCCAGATTTTGGCTTTTCGTCGTTGCCCATGCTGCTCCTAGGTCTGGGGTTGGGGACACTTGGTAGCCGTTTTCGACTTTGCGCCTCTCCTTCAGCAAGGCTCCCATGGGATTCTAACTCTTTTTCAAGGGCATTTGTGATCCACGCGAAGCAAACTGGACGGACCTTCTTGTGCTTTTTCCTCAGGTTCACAGATTGGAATATATCAGGCACCGGAGGATTCCTGCCCTGTCCCGGGGTTCTGGGACTTGCGACCGAGGTCGGATGTCCCGGGATGGTTGTTAATGGAGAGAACTCAGCAGGCTTCGTTGTATTAATTAGCCTCAAAAGCAGATCCTTGATTTGTCTGTGAGAAACAAAATCATCTTTTAAGAAGTTGTGCTTCGATTCTCCGCCCACACTCCCAATTCCTTAATTATGTTGCAGAAGTAGGGGCTTTTTTAACGTCTATCTGGTATTGATCTCACTGCATGATGATGGCTTTCTGTTTCACTGGTGTTCGAAGCTTTCCTAAGCTTTGGAAGAGCAACCCATACCTTGGCCTAAGCCCAGGACACTCTTATCTCTCTCTCTTTCTCAAAGACTGTTATGGCATCCGGAACCAACAGAAGTGGTTTTCTGTTAAAACAGTGTCTGCACAAAATACTAAAGCAGTGAATCTGCTGACTGCCAAGGCCAGATATCTCAGGAAAGGAGGTGAAGGCAGTAATATGCAAGTTTCTTCTGAGTCCCACCTTTTTGCAGCTGGAGCGGCTAAGAAGAGATCAGAGATGAATCCTCATAAGGAAGATCATGCCTTGCCACCTGTGAGGAACAGTATTCAACTCCCAACAAAACCTTTGAATTCAGAAGAGTGGGATAAACTCAAGGAAGATTTCAAAGGAAAGGCTAAATTTGAAAGTTGGATCATTTCTCAAATGGCCCACTCCCATAGCTCTGTAGATGTGGCCAAATCTCTGTTAGCCTGGGTAGCTGCAAAAAACAATGGTATTGTAGGCTATGATTTGCTGGTCAGGTATTTGTATCTCTGCGTCTTTCATAAGCAGACATCGGAAGTTATTGATGTCTATGAGATCATGAAAGCCAGATACAAGAGATTAGAATCTGAAGGGTATACTCTCCTCATCCAGGGATTAGTCCACTCAGACAGATGGAAAGAGGCCTTGCTGCTGTTAGAGGATGTCAAAAAAGTCATGATCGCTTCAAGAAAGAACTACAATGACTGTATAGAGGGAGCCCTCCTTCATCAAGATGTAAACCTAGCTTGGAATTTGTATCAGGAATTGTTAGGTCATGATCTTATTCCTATGATGAAAACCTTAAAGGCATTTTTTGATTTTGGAAAAAATATAAAAGATGATCAGTATTCAAACAAGCTACTTGACATTCTTTTGTATCTAAGAAATAATCAACTGTATCCTGAGGAATCATTTGCACAGAGTATAAAAACATGGTTTGAGAGGTAATTTTGATCTTTCTTTATATGTACGTTTTTATTTTAATACGTCTACCTAAAAGCAGCCACCTCCTTTTTTTGTTGTTGCTGAGAATTACTCTATTCAGATTATACTTCTTTCCTTCTCTCAGATTTGTTTCCCTTTAAAGACAACATTTTGGGACGCCTGGGTGGCTCATTTTAAGCATCTGCCTTCAGCTCAGGTCATGATCCCAGGATCCTGGGATTGAGTCCCACATCCGGCTCCTTGCTCAATGGGGAGCCTGCTTCTCCCTCTGCTTTCCACTTCCCTTGCTTGTGCTCTCTCACTCTCTCTCTGGCAAATAAAATCCTTAAAATTTTTTTTAAAAATTAAAAAAAAAGACAAAATTTTCTTTCTCTTTAAAAAAAGTAGTAGCATAAACAAGTTCTATTCTCCATCACATTAAAGGGAAATTATCAAGCACTTGTATGTTTTCATGTATTTTTTTTTCTTTGTGGAAGGATCATCTGTTTTTTTCTGAGGTGTTCGCCATGTACTTACAAATAGCACTTGTGGCTGGAGTTCATAGCAAGAAAACTGGAGCTGTCTTTGGGTCATATTAGTATTTAAGAAGTTCTTCTGAAGCCTAGTGACTGGTGTCTGTTTAATCTATGCATTTCATTAACTTGGATTGTTAGAGGAGATGGGGGACCCTGATCAGACATGATATGCAGGTGTTAAGAATGGAAAATCTCATTGTTCCAGTTCATTTTGGATCTTTCCTTCATCCAGCTGCTCTCTCCAAGGCTCTCTGCTTTCTCTTTGCTTTTATTCATGTTAGTGGCTCTGTGCCTATTTATTGTTTCAGTCTTTTTTTTTTTTTAAGATTTTATTTATTTATTTAACAGACAGACAGATAGCAAGAGAGGGAATACAAGCAGGGGAAGTTGGAGAGGGAGAAGCAGGCTCCCCACCGAGCAGGGAGCCCGATGCGATGCGGGGCTTGATCCCAGGACCCTGGGATCATGACCCGAGCTGAAGGCAGACTCTTAACGACTGAGCCACCCAGGTGCCCCTATTGCTTCAGTATTTTATTCACTTATTTCTTCACCACTAATTTGTTTCAGGCTCTTTTCCTAAAAACTTAACTCCTTTTCTGTTTTTCTCATTTCAATTATATATTCTCTTTACAGATCTTTGAAGTAGCAACCATGCTTAATTATCTTATTTAACAAATTTATTGAATGTTACTGGAGGGGCTAAGTTGTGAAAACCTTGAATGCCAGGGATTTTGGATTTTACTCTGTTACCTTGGAGTAGAGTTTTAGAAAGGTAACTGCCAACACACACACACACAAAGGTTGGAGAGGGATTAAGATTGGAAATAAGATCTATTTGGAGGCAATTGTAGGTTTGAATGAGAGATGATGAGATCTTGAGTTAAGAACTAGGGAAGGAGAGAAGGCAATTGAATCAATAGAAGCTGATAGTAGTCTATGTAAGAGGAAAGAAAGGATAAGTTGATTGAGCAAATAAATCAAGTAGTTTTGAATGCCTCCATTTGGCTAGGCACTGTGGGTGTTTGGTGATATAAGATCTATTATGATGGCATTCACAACCTAATTGGGAATATAATACTTGACAGTTTATAGTAGTGCATAAGAAGATAGTATAAGGGAAGAAATTACTTTGGGGAGAAACAATCTCTGGTAGCTCTATGGAGAAGGTTAGAGTTGCATTTGATTTATAGGTTACACTATTAATGTCAGCTACTGGGTCCCCTGTAGGCAGATTTAGATGTGAAGATGAAGGTTGGATGACCAAAGGAGAAGTGAAGGGAAGAAGGAGGTCCACAGTAGGGTACCATTATCTCCTTAGCCCTGTCACAGTATATCACCCACTCTTCTAATTAAACCATTCTAGGGAAGTATCCTGAACTTTTCAGAGCTCTTGCCTGCTGAGTTTCTAAATAAAATGCCTATCTTTCAGTTCTGTAGGAATCTGACCTCCTGATGATCTGGTTTTGCAATCTTTTTTTTGTAGTGTTCCCGGAGAACAATGGAAAGGACAGTTCACAACAGTCGGGGAAAGGTAAAGGCCAGTATTTAATTTTTAACTTGCTTGATGTGGGTTTAGTACGTTTTGTTGCTATTGATCAAAAATTTTTAAAGAATACATTAGAGATAGGATAATTAAGAGAGTACCCAAGAAAAAAATCCATGTTTTGCATATGGAGAATTTTCAGTGCTCGAAATGTTTTTCCCATAAAGTGGTGTGAGCCTTGTGTGAAGCCTCGGAGATATTTTCCTCTACAGATTTGGGATCCAGTTGTGTTTTGAGAATGAATTTAAAAACTCTATCTGGGTGCCCAACCATCTACTTTTTTGGGTTTTCTGGCACACTTAATGTGTGTTATTGTTAGGTTTATAAAAAATTGGATGCATGTGATGATCACAAAGATTATAATGTTCTTTTTTTTCATTACTCTTCAATTTCCTCTTGTCCTAGGATTATTCATTTTAGAAAAAGTTTTTTTCCAGGAAAACATTTAACACAAACTATTGTAATTACAGCGGTCAGTGTTTGGGCTGTGCAAAAACCATGGAGTCTATTCACCTGAGTCCAGAAGAGTATGAATTTCTTAAGGGCAAAATCATGAGGGATGTGATAGATGGAGGTGATCAGTACAAAAAGACAACACCTCAGGTGAGTCCTGAACAGGTTTTATTCCTTTTGTGGATTGCTTGTCTAGAATAGGAATTGGCAATTTTTTTCTGTAAAAGACCGAATAACGAATATTTTAGGCTTTGTGGGCCATATGGTCTCTGCTGCAACTTTTCTACTCAAAATACAGTACATAAGTGAATGAGCATGGCTGTGTTCCATTAAACTATATTTATGAAAATACACTGTGTGCTGGATTTGGCCTGCTGGCTACAGTTGCCAACCTTTAGGAGACTGCTTTAGAATTTAGCAGAATAATTGGGGTAGACTATCATCCATCTATTGGAGTCAGTCCTGTTTTATCTAGGCATAGGTCCACTTAAGCCAAAGAGATAGGTGCTCATTTTTTTCTCTAAGTACTTCCAAAAAACTGTGTTCAGTAACTCCCATGAAAACATGGTTTCATGTTTTGTAATTCCTATCTTTTGTAATATCCTATCTCTAATGTATTCTTAAAAAATTTTGATCAGTAGCAACAAAACCTACAACTTCTCTGATGAAAAGAGTTTAAGGTAGCTTAACAAATTTTTTTCCAGATTTTCTTAGTATTGAATTTGATTCTGTAAGTCATCTTTAATAGCTTCATTTTGCTAATCTTTAGTACTTTATACTGGTTTATTAAGATTACGTTGAAGAACTAAAATGCTTTTACCTTGGGGAAAGGTCGCTTATTATCTTAGTAAATGCTTTTTCTTCAAGGTACCAAATAAAAACAAGAAGTGAACATTGTTCTGCCTTCTTACCTTGACTGAAAATTTTCACAGAATGCCCTTAGATCATATGAAGACCTTTAATCTTCAAAATAAAGTCAAAATATGGTCCATAAAAACATTAGCTTCATTTTATGGAATAACTTTTAGCTGATTTTATTGATAAAATTAGAGTTGAGACTTATTAAGTGATGCTAAGTACTTTACATTCATTATCTTATATCTTATTTAATCCTTATAACCACCCTATATGGTACTATTTTATTTCTCTTTTACAGATAGAATGATTGAGACTTTGGGAGATTAAATCTGCCCAAGGACACCACACTATAAAATCTAGGTCTGACTGACCCCAAAACCTTTGCTGTCACACTCTAGTGCCTTTCACTGTTTGAAAAGTTCCAGTGGCAATCCATAGTTCCATATATACCTGACAGCCAGCTGGTTGTAGCAGCTCTTAATGCTTTAGGAATTTCTGCCAGCTGAAATATGATTTGAACAGATAAATTTCCTTTCTCTCATCAAACATCTATTGGACACTTATGTGTATTTTCTGAAGTAGATGTTAAGATAGATGCAAGGTTGTGTACAGCTCATGCTGTTTGTTACCAAAGACTTAAACATTTCTGTTGTGGACTAAAAAGTCTTCCCACCTTTCAACTTTTTATTTAATAAAAAGAAAAAAATGAAAGAATAGCACAATGGACACTTACATACTCTTCATTTTGAGTAACCAGTTGTTAGTACGCCACTTATGCTTTCTCTCTGTATGTTTTTGTGAACTATTTAAAGGTAGGTTGTAGACATATGACCTTAAATATTTCAGCTTATATCTTCTAAGAATAAGAAAATTCTATAATTGAATACCATTATCACATTTCAGAACCTTAACATTAATTCAGTGTCATTTAATAAAAGGCACATATTCAAATTTTCCCAGTTGTCCCCCTGAAATGTATTTTGTAACCTTTTCCCCCTCTGACCCAGGATTCAATCAAGATGTACTCATCGCTTTTGGCGGTTATGTCTCTCTAAATTGAGAACAGCTCCTCCCCACACTGCCTTTTTAAATTTTTATGACTGATTTTTTTGAAAAGTCTAGGTGTTTTGTCTTGTACAGGGCTTCTCAAACTTTGTACCTATGAATCACTTAAAGATCTGGTTAAAATGTAAATTATGATTCAGTTGTCTGGAGGGGGGTCCTGAGAGTCTATTTTGAACAAGCTCCCAAATGATGTGGTTCCGGTCTTTAGATGACATTTTGAGCAGTAAGACTGTGCACTAATTGATTGTTTTCTCCTCCATTAATTCAGTATAACAGCTCTTGGGTATACACTGCGTGGGTGATGCTGTGTGCTTATTGCCGCAGAGCAGCCACATAATGTCAGGTTATTCTCACTATTGATGCTAAGTTCCATCACTTGATTACGAGGGCAACCGCCAGATATCTCCATTGTAAAGGTACATTTTCCCTTGGTAATCTTTGTAATTAAAAATAAAGTAACCTGTGGAGTAATACGTGAGGCCAGTGCAGATGTCCTGTCATTCTTGCAGATATCCTGTTAACTCTTCACCCAGTGTTTTTCGCATCATGGAGATGGTTTCTACTTTGGGAGGTTGTAAAGCGTTGATTTTCTAGTTATTTCATTCCTTCGACATTTATTAACTGGTATTCTATAAAAGATTTCTCTCTCTCTCTCTTTTTTTTGGAGCTCCTGCTTTTTATTTTTTTAATTACGTTTTCTAGACATAAGGACTTTTTTTTTCTTTTTTTGATTAATTGTGTTAGAATCCGTCCATTACCATCATCATTCTTTTTGATGCTCAAATTATCCCGGATTTATCCTTTGGGAGCCCCTTCAAGCCAGCTCCTGTGTCTTTTTGACATTTCCTCCACTACCCTATCAGTTGTTTGTTTTTTTTTATAAATTTTATTTATTTATTCATGAGAGAGAGAGAGGCAAAGGGAGAAGCAGAGGGAGAAGCAGGCTCCCCACTGAGCAGGGAACCTGATATAGGACTCGATCACAGGACCATGTAATCACAACCTGAGCCAAAGGCAGATGCTTAATGGACTGAGCCACCCAGGCGCCCATTATCCCCAGTTTTTGCACTTCTCTTATTTCTGGCACAGGATATTCCAGGTTCTCACCTTGAAGTGCTTCTGTCCCAACGATGGAATCATAAATTGAATACTTTTGTTTGATACCTCTCAATGGTTAAACATTGCTATAATTCCTTTTTAATGTATATCACTTTAATTCTCATTTAATGGAGGTAAAATTTGTTAGTTTTCTCTGTTGGCAAAGACTTAAGAGTGTTACACTGTTAAGAGGAGTTGCAGGCTCCAGACTATGGTGAGAATAGCAAAGAGTAGTCATATATCTAATTACTGTAATTCACAGAGCAACTGGATATATTCACAGAAAGACTGGAACATTTTAGGTCAAGGGAAATTATTTTCTCTTTCCAGGTATGCTTCCCTTTCTCCCCACTGAAGGTCTCCAATCCTGTATTGCATGTCTTGTCACGCCTTTCACCTTCAGGCTATTAACTTAACATAATAATAATAATTGCTGCCATTTGTGAAATGATTGCCGTATGTCAGGCACTTATAGATCTGTTACACTCAAAACAACCTTGCAAAGATATCACCATTTTGAATATGGGGAAGCTCAGGATAAGCAGTGTATCCATGGGTAAAGAGCAGCAAAGAAAGTCATAGATGTGGTTGGCTTGTTCAGGGTTTGGTTTTTGTGGTATCAGTGAGGTAGAAGGGGCAAGGATGGACCCAGAACACTGCTGGTGGATTGGAGTAGAAGCAACTCTTTTTCTGGGACTAGAGGAAAGGAATTAGGATAGTGGACAAGTTAAGTGTGTCGGTGCAGCAAAGACTTGAAAACATATATTCACATCTCTTAATTTCTCTGAAGAGCCTGAGGTAAATCGGTCATTTGAAGGTGAGAGAGAATATGCTAGCCTAAGCCTAAGGGACCTTGAGGAGAGTTTTAAGCTTTGCAAGTTTGGATTATTTGTGAGAGGACTGGGGAAAGTATTGCTGGGTGATGCTGAAGGCCCAGCTGGGGCCAGAGCATAAGTTTGTAATGGCATTGAGCTGTGAGACAGTTTCAGCAGTCCTGGGCCATCCACGTATAGGAATGGAGAGGGCAGATAGATGGGATGGTACAGGACTTTGCTAGTCTGGTACAGTTGGAGAACAGGAGTTGAGGGTATAGGTGAGAGGATAGTGCAATGAAGGGACCGTGAGACCAAGCTTGATAGGAAGTAAAGATGGGTAGGAGCTCGTGGATTAGGAGACAGTAGAGATAAAAGTGGATTGGAGGCTCGTGGAAGTTGAAGAGCGAGCATGAGAGGAGTGAGAATGACAAGCAGGAGATTTTGATCAGTGTATATTAGAGGTTAGATTTCAGAGGTAGAGTGCTCTGCAGTGATGACAAAGTCCAGAGTGTGAGAGTTAAGTAGATGAAGAAACAGAGCCGAAAGTGCTAGTTGGTTGTCCACAAATTTATTGAAAGTGTCTGTATGATAATTTTTTAAAAATAATAATTGTAGCCATGTTTACAGATTGCTTCCCAGGTGCCAGGTAATGTGCCTTGTTACTTAGGCTGGTGATGAAGAACTGAGTCAGGTGGCAAATTCTTGAGAAATGTAGAAGTGCCTGGGGTGACACAAGGTGCTAGCAAAGAGGAGGAGTCAGCAAACTATGGCCTGCAGAGCAAATCCAGCCCACTACGTGTTTTTATAAATAAAGTTTTATTGGAACACAGCCAAACTCATTCATTTATGTATTGTTGGTGGCTGCTTTTCCCTTGCACAATTGGGTACATATACAAGAGACCACGTGGCTCATAAAACCTAAACTGTTTACTGTCTGGCCCTTTCCAGAAACAGTTGCTGACCCCTGGTATGAGGTGAGGAGTGGAGACATAGTGACTTTGAAAAATTTTTTTTTTCGATTTTATTTATTTGCGAGAGAGAGACAGAGATAGTGAGAGAGCACAAGTGGGGAGGAGAGGAAGAAGCAGGCTCCCCACAGAGCAGGGAGCCCGATGCGGGACTCGATCCCAGGACCCCGGGATCATGACCTGAGCCGAAGGCAGACGCTTAGCCGACTGAGCCACCCAGGCACCCGAGACATAGTGACTTTGAAGAAGCAGTGGGTACTAGAAGAGGGCCTCTTTGTCCTCAGTCCTGTAGCATGCTTTGAGAGAATGCATTACTTAAGAACTAAGTAACTAGGAAGTTATTGAT